ATTCCCCATTGCTATGAAAGTTTAAAACATTTTGAACTTCATGTACAAAGCAACGATTCAGCATGAAAATATAAAGCCACAAGAGATTACGTGAGAGCTGGCTTTCCTCAGAGTGGAGAGTGGGCTGCTGTATTTAAAATGAACTCTAAAAAAGAAAAATGCGAATTTTGGGAATGTGAACTGTCAATTGCTAATCAGTAGAAAGTTTACAGCAAAATAGCCAAGTAAGTGAAATTCATTTTGTTTATGAGCTGACTTAAAGGAGTTTATAATTCATGTATATAAGATTATTTTTATTAGCACCAAGTCACTAGAAAGAGCTGTTTATAACCATATTCTTGGCACTAAGAAATAGTCTTACATAAATTCACTATTTTGGTGACAACACCTGTAATTTCTTTATATATCAGACTTTCTCTTCCCCCATAACCTGAAGTCCTTTCAGACACTCTCTCTTTAATATTTCTTCCCCATATTCTCTTACAAACAGCAATTCACAAGTCTGCAGGCTGCATGACCTCTGTATTTACCAACTCCTCGAATTTCTGGTGTTAGCAGCCAGCTTACAAGAGTCTGTGGTTGGAAAATCGTCAGTAGCTGAACTGTCCCAGGCTGGCACGGCAGCCACAAACTGTGGGCAGAGGTCTTTTTTCTCATTCAATAAAGAACATGGCATAGAAAAAGAAATAACTGTACACAGGCAGCATCGTTTCCACAGCAAGGCCAGACAGGCAGGAGACTGCAGTGCTAACACAAACACAAGTTAGTGCCTTCCACACAAAGGTCACAGCATTAACTCCAGACTCGTAGGTGACCTCAGATCTACTAAAAATAGTCAAATTCACTGAACAAAGCCCTACTGATATGATTTTACCAAAGCCGCTTGCCATTTTCTTTGTTTCTTTGAGAAACCAGCAACCTTACTGCAGGCACTTTGAGTCACTGTCTACTGTTAGTCGGCTTTTAAGAGGCAGAATCAGATCATTCCGGAACGTGAAAAATGAGATAACCAAGGTCTCGCAGCAGAACTCCTCCCGCTGCAGTGAGCACCAGAGGCAGCCCAGCTGGCCAGCTCCTAACGGAGATGCAACACTGAGATCCTGCATCCACTCCTCTTGGTGGGCAAGGGATGTCCTGAGTCAGACTGCAATTTGTTTCTATGAAGCTATGCCCACCTTTCTTTAAGCCACACTAAAAACAAAACAAACAAACAAACAAAACACACACAAAAACAACAACAAAAAAAAAACCACCAAAAACCAAGTCAATAGAACTTGATTGTCAGTTTGTTTTTTTTTGTATATCTTTTGTCATCTATGAAACTCATCCTCAGGAAAAAATTAACTGCAAATAGCATGAAATATTATTTCACAGAATCACAGAATTTCTAGGTTGGAAGAGACCTCAAGATCATCGAGTCCAACCTCTGACCTAACACTAACAGTCCCCACTAAACCATATCCCTAAGCTCTACATCTAAACGTCTTTTGAAGACTTCCAGGGATGGTGACTCCACCACTTCCCTGGGCAGCCTGTTCCAATACCTAACAACCCTTTCGGTAAAGAAGTTCTTCCTAACATCCAACCTAAAACTCCCCTGAAAATTTCCCTTCATTTATTTTAAACCTGGTACACTAAATTTTCATTTCCACTGCTTTACACACAGTTATCAATCTCTTCAGCCCTCTGATTTCTCTACCTCAAACTGCAAAGTCTAAGTCCATTCAATCTTCCTGAGCACGGAAATAGCTCTGCGTTCTTGTTTATTCTTTATTACCACCATATATATTGAGTTCTTCTGGATCTGTTTCAGAATTAGCTGAAGAGAATCACATCCACTGTTGAACACAGAGGTAGGTATAAGGCATGAGACACGGTGGGATAGCATTCTATTTTTTTCTACATTTCTCTTTTGATATGTTCCCTCTTGTAGCCACCACTGGTCAGTCAAGAAGTCACAGAACCATCCACAGGAATTCCAATTTCTCTTTCCCAATTTGCAAGGCATAACTGAGTACATCACTGGGTATATGCCATAAGATCAACCTTCTCAATAAACACTGCCTGTCATCTCTCAGAACTGAACCTGGCCTGCTCTTCCCTTGTCCCATCACTTTGTGCTGTCAGGTCCCTCTGACATTCCTCAGTCAGCTTTTGGTCTTGCAACCTGGAAAAATGTGTCAGTGTTTATAATTCATCCCCCGTTCCAGATATTTTACAAGCTCTTGGAACACCACAGATCCCAGCACACGTTCTGCAGAGGGCTCTGAGTGACATTGCTGTATGTCCAACCTTCTCTTTTTTTTTTCCATACCATTTCCCGTCGTTACCTTCCCATTCCCTTTCCCTTTAATTAAACCTTTCTCATCTCAAACCTCGAGTTCTCTGTGTTGTATTTTCTCCCCCTCCTTCTGAGGAGAGGGGGAGTGAGAGAGCGGTTGTGGTGGAGCTTGGCTGCCCACCTGAGTAAAACCACCACACCAAGTCACTACCTAATCACTACAGGGTTACACCAGTTCAATCTCCTAACAGTCTTGGAAACCCCAAGAGGTGTTTTGTTTTTTAAAAAAGAAATCCAGACACGTTGTGTTAGTTAAATCACCTTCACCAAATGCTCATCCAGTCATTCACACGACATGAGCACATTTACAAGCCCAGACTTCCTGCTACAGAAGACAACTTGACTCCTCTCTATTATCGCCTTTATCCTTGTTAACACCAACTCTATTCGTTTTTTTATAGTTTCTACCAAGGTGCCTGATATAGAAACCAGGCTCTCGAATAGTTTCCAGTTTCCCAAACACTCCGTGAGCCCCTCTTTAAAAGCCTGACACGTTTACTGCTTTTCATTCTTCCCCTCTAAGGCCAATTTAAGCAATGATTATACACAACCGTGTGTAACTCAGCAACTTCATCGCCGAGTTCTTCACAAAGTGAGAACTTTTCCTAGCAATTCATTGTGCTGCTTTGCTCCAAAATGTCACCCTCCTGACAGCTTCCCCCAGTTAGCTCCCCACAAAGGAGGTCTCCACATGGGAACCACTCTGCAGTGAATAGCAATGCAAATAACTTCTCTGCTGTGGCTTTACCTTCCATTAGCGCACATGTAGTATTATGATCATCTATCAGCCCATCAGCATCTCTGGCAGGCTTTCCACTTTTGACAGTTAGACAAAAAGTTTTATTATTTTTCATGCCTTTCTAAAGTTGTTCCTCAACATTTTTTTGGCCTACCTTACTACGGTGTATATTTAACTTGCCAAAGTTAATGCTCTTTCCTATTCTCCTCATTTGGATATGTCTCCTGCTGCAGAAACATGACTTATTTCTAAGGAGCCTTGTTTACTTTACTGTTTAAGCCAGTCCTTGTTTGTTTTTGTGGCTTTCCTTCAGCCTCTTCTTTCCCCTCCCATCTCAGACTTTCACCACTGAAACTGGACACAGTGCTCGGGAAGATTTGGGTTGCGTGGGTCTTTTTGTTTGTTTTTGGTTAATCAGTGTGAAAGACAAGCAAAATTTCTCATCTTACGCATGTCCACGTGACCCCAGAACAGCATTTCAGCTATGACACTTTGCTGAGACTACATGAAGCTTTTTCTCTGTCTGCTTCCAAGAAGTTTTTCTATCTTAAAGGTACAATCTGCATTTGTTCCTCCCAGATGTCTTGTTTCATATTTGGATGTCTTAAAATATATTTCATTGGACTGTGGCCACTTAAAAAAATCAGGCAATCCAGATTGTTCTCTAGAAGTACCCAACCATTTATTGAGTACTCTCCAATAAACGTATCATCTGCACACTTAACCCTAGGATTTTTTCCAGTTTGGATTATTAATGGCGACATTAAGCACTGCGAGAATGAGAACCGATTGACTGAGGAAATAATCTTGTGGAAATAACTCCATTCAGGCTTTCCTTACCAGCAACCACATTTTGAAATCTCTAGGGCATTGCTCTTTAATCTATCTAGTGCATACTCATGCTTGGTAAAGTCAGAAGTCACATTTTCACCATTAAAGAAGCACTTACTAAGAAGAGTTACATCCTCTGAAAAATATTTATTCTATCTCAACTATTTGCATCATATTTTGCATATTTACATTTTAAATTGCACTAAAAAGTCAGGAACCTTTAGAATGGGAAAACATTTATTCATTTTATTCATGCTTGAAAACAGCCAAACCAACTTTATCCAAATAAAACAAAACAAAACCAAAACAAAAACCCCCAACATTCTATGGAAAAGACCAAGCCTGAAAAATGTCACCTTGAGAGATCATGTTTTTTACTAATGACATAAGCAACTGAAAACATAAGCTAAAATAAAAGAAATCATGCAGGCAAGATGATTTACATTTAAGAGTTCCAAATAAATTATGATACCTGGCTTGGTACTGTTAGCTTTGTATAGTTTTTTGAATATGAGAGAAGTTTCAGAAGAGAATTCTTGGCAGAACTACAGGTCAGCCATCCTTACACCAATCCTACATAAAAAAATGATAATTCTGACATTGAATGCTATTAATAAGGAATTGAAGGACATCCTAGAAAAAAACTGCAGACCTTAATAAGATTTAGGAGAAGCAACTGAACACGAAACCCCAGCAAGATGATGTCTGTAGAGCTATAATTTTTCAATGCATGAACAAGAAAACAAACACCTAGTTAGACTAGAGAAAAGGTACTCCCTCTTTACATGACATTAGTTTAACACAGTTAGCTGCTTGTGAGAAGGTGACTAACAGTAATCTGTAAGTAGCTACCGAGGGAGAAAAATAGAATTTTGGGTTTTAGCAGGCAAAGAAACCCTCTTCTTGAAGCCAAATTTAAAATGAAAACGAGATGAGTATTTTTGCAGTAATTAGTTTATCCATAGAAATAATCCATCACATTGTTACCAACTTCTCAGACAGCTGAAACCTTTAAATGGAGATAACTAGCCTGTGAACCAAGATGTATTTACTTGGGGAAAAAAAAAAAAAGGTAAAGTAATTACTTACTTTGGGAAGATGACAGTCATGAGTGCTGATGCATAACCAGGCTTGCACACTCCCTCAGAGAAATTTGCATACCTTGATGCCAATTCTGGAGGCCTGTAAAAAATAAGGGCAGAGTCAGGACTCTCCTGCTATGAACTGGCTTTTGCAATCATCCAAGTCATTTTTTTCTTACAACTTTTCTCAATAACAGCTACAAGGAATAATGGCCAACACAGAAGGGTATTCATTTGTTGCAATATAGCACACAGGGGAACAAACAACAAAGGAGAGAGTTAAAGATAGGTGAAATACCAGTAAACCACTATTTTTTTTGAAACATTTTCATACCTAGGAAGGTAAAGCTTATGGAAAAAACATTTTAAGACACATTTTTAGACTTCAGCTTTTCAAAAGGGAGAAAGCATAACCAGCAGTTTGCTTTGGCTATTTTTCTAGAGTACGATCAAAGTTAGAATTATATAGAAGTACTATTTGTAAGATACCTTTCAAACATTTGAAACAAATTGCTGAGCAGTTTTGACAGGCTATCATCAAGGGATGCATTCAGCATTTGGGACAGACAACATTGCTGCTGTTCTGTTGAGATGTGTCTAATAACTGAGTTTGGCTAGCAATTCCAGGGCCAAATTCAGATATATATATTTTCTTCCACTTAACTTTAGTACAGAAACAACATCTGTTTAGCATTTAGCAACTCAAGGAAAGATACTTAAGTCCGTATTTTTACCATAGACCTACTGAGTGACCTGGAAAAGTACCATTTAATTTTGCTCGTGTTCCCATTTACCACCTGCAGAATTTTTATATTCACCATTTCACAGAAAACATAGCAAAGGTTAACTCGCTTAGGCTTTTGAGATAACATTATACATCTTATTGTCGGTCACAGCATGAGAATTATTAATACTCCCACCACAAAAAAGCATTTACAGTTACGCATTCAATAATCAGTGGAGGTTGCAAGCGTTAACTACTACTGAGGGCAGATCAATAATTCTGTATGTACAGCACTATTTTGATAGCAGTAGGCATGTAACAAAGTGTTTTGTGCTTTTTTTTTTTGTTTTGTTTTTTCCTACAGGTTAATAACTACAGTCGAATGAAGACACCAGTACAGATCCTCAAAATAGATCCACAAAAATCATTTTGAAGAGCCCAATATTATCACAACAGTGTTTCCTTTTCTATGCATCACCAACATCAGTTGGGTTGCAAACTGCTGCTGGAGGTAATGGCATGGATTCAGGGCATTTCTAGTGAGTGATACGCTGAACCCCTGAACTGAAAATGGGATCCTGGAGGGATCATGAGCAGTGCTACAAATAAAACCCCAACCAGGGATGTTCTGTATTTGAATGTCAGCAGTTCTGTGCTGAACCTGCAGTAACTCCCCTTGCACTGGTACTGGGACCACTTCCCAGGAGATCACAGCCAGCTCCAACTGGATGATCAGGAGATGCAAAGTTCATTTTAAAATTAGGTACATATTCTACAAAATTTCCTAAATCAATGGTTCTTAAAAAGTATAGTTTTATTCAGTGGAAACAGTCCAAGTCTTCGACACCTGAAAAAGGACGTAATCTAGATAAAATGAAAAGTTACTGTAAGTATTTCATTTGTTAAGACATTTGTAGATAAAAACCATGTGAAGAAAGTTAAGGTAACATCGGCCCAACTCTGATTCTGCCACAGTTTTCCCACAATTTTGATAAAAACATTTGATCTTTTACTATCACAATTCCTTATCTAGGACTTGCACTGAATGATTTGTGTTTGGACTCCAGTCAAGATCTCTTTATAAATAGGCACAAGGAAGGAAAGGTCTGTTGTTGACAAAACAGAACGTTTTAATGGTGCTAAAATATATTCCCTTCTAACACAGTCCAAAGGGACGAAGTGGTGTATAGCTCACTGCTTGCTGCAGCATGCCAGCATTTCAGGTGTGAAGAAGGGGGGGAAATTTTAATCTTTATCAAACAAATATAAGCATTACTGGATTTTTCTGGCTTAGGGAAAAATACAGAGCTCCCTAATACCAAAATCTTCAAAAACAAGCACAAAGCAACCGGAATTTATCTGTAGCCACCACGGTAGTGAGTCATTGCTGGCAAACTTGTATAACCATTTGAATGGCAGGCTTTGCTCAAATGACCTCAGTGGTCACACAGAATATCTTGTGCCACAAGCACAGGCATTTTTCTCTTTTCTGATTTAATAGCGCTTTCATTATCAAATTAAAATGTCACTCAGATGCCCATCATGGCGTTTCTGCAAAAGAACAGAGGGCTGACAACCTCGTGCATTTGCTTCGCACAGAAGGGCCGGTCAGCGCAGCATACTGATGCTGGAGCTGTCAGTTACAAAACCCACAAAGATACTCGGAGCTGCTGGAGCCCGAGGGGCAGAGCTGCTGACATTTCTTGGATGTGATGAAGTTCATGAGCCAGACTGCCAGAGGCAGAACAATTCTCGTAAGCCAATTGTAGCTGCCATCTCGTATCACTCAACGTTTGTTCATCTCCTTTCTTCTAGCCACTTATTAAGCCAGCAGGCTACAGAAAACTAGAAATGGGCACTCTGTATTTTAAATCCATCTAGGGACACATTTTGTTTGATTTCTTCAGATTATATGTTGAGGCCACGCTGTCATTGCCAACATGCTCGTAACGATAACCCTGTATTAGCATACAACTCAAAGTTAAATGGTTAGAGTAAGGCTGCATACAGCCTTGATGTCTACCCTTCTACTACCTCGTAAAGCCATCCAAGCTGACATTATTTTAGATGTATAAACTTGTCTTGTGGTTGTGTGTTTTTTTTTCCCCCTGCAGATTCATTGATCTCAGAGATTGCTCTTCCACAAATTAGTCTGCAAAACATCTTGCATGAAGTGTCCTATACTGGGAGGCTAATGCTGGAGGTGTAAGGTAGAGAACTACACATCAAACAAATCAGTGTTTGTTAATAGGTACACAGCTCTGTAACAAAACTAGTATTCAGAACTAAAATGTATGAATAAGCACCTATTTCATATTTGATGACACTGTACCTATTACACTGTGTACCTATTACACTGCTGCATCTGTTGCTACTTTAGTGATTGCATTTCTTATTTCCCAATAGAAGAAATAGTATTACTAGGAGTACATTCTGCAAAAGAAGCCTCACAAATTAGCAGAACAGGGTGCACAGCATTCAAGAGCATTGGCTCAATTTTTGTTTTAGAACCCTGATTTCTCCTTGCAGGGGATGAGTCAAGAACTATGAACCAAACCAAACTATGTTACTTTCTTAGTGCTTTACTAGTGAACAGCCTCATCTCACTAGCTCTGTTACTGTGCCTGGAATCAAAGGAGATCCTGATGACACAGGAGGTTACTGGGGTAAGCCGGCCAGGGCTATCGTGGCAGTTACAGAACCAAGGTGTAAATCTTCTCTGCATCTTTTAAGTCCAAGCACATCAGTTTCAACTCTGGATTCTCACGCTGCTAGTTACAGCAAAAACAGGGGGTGAAAGTGGTTCCTTACTGTGGATCCTTACTCAGACTTTGTGCAGGGGAAAGTAAAACAGTAAGAAACTACATTGCTCAAGAATGAATGAAGGAAACAATTCATAGTCAGTAACTGTAAACATCTGCGATTTTTAAACAAGTGCCTGCATGAGGATGAAGTTAAAGGAAAGCAACTGGCTGATTTCCAGTGAAAAGAAACTGCACTCTTGCTTTTTTTTTCTCTCTTAACTTTTCTCCTATGAGACCAGTACACATCCTGAATTCCTCCTTAAGATTTTCTGTGCTTCTCTACGCTGTTATGTAGCCATCAATCTTCACAAAATTTCACAATTTGGATAAGTTAAAAATCCAGCTGCTTTCAGAGGATTAGAAAAAGAAACAAGATTTTTCCTTCTGCATGACTTTGGCAGATGCGTGTCATCTTTTAATCTCAAACATGAAAGTGTCACCATGGTTAATTCCTTCATCATGCCTTGACCAGGGACAGCATGTCATCCTCACGGGACTAGAATTTAAGTTCATTTAAAAAAGGAAGTATTAAAAACTCAGTGTTTGGACCACTAAAAAAAGAATTGCACAACTAAGCTCACATAATTAAATATTCAGAATCTAGTTTAGGAGACACATTTTGCCTCTTGGCCTTCTGCATGGATTTTAAATTGTGAATTGTAAAAATTGAAAAAGTTCATTTATTTGAGATCATCTTTGAGGACTGGTTACTCTTGCACACAGAACATATGCACTGGTACATGTCTAAAACAAGGAAAAGGAGTTCTTCAGAAACGTGCTAGCCCTTTGCCTTGAGGTTTCTCTCTCTTTCATCCAATGTAATTTCATTCTTATACCCATAGAACAGCTCTACAAAGCGTACATCATGATACCTGAAGAATGAATAGGAGACATCACCAGAACGAGATGAAAGGCACATATAACAGTGGTTATTATGAAGTAATAATGAGGTAATATAAGAAGGTGAATTGGCATAAAAAGGGGAGATCATTAGATCAAAGCAGTTAATGCTGAGACTCCCATATCTACATTACACAAGATTCAGGGCATTTTACTTCAGATAGGATTTCCAGCTGGGTTCCCTGGGTCAGATACAACCATCCATCACGTACATGGCTCACTGTTGGCCAAAAGTATATTTGTAGACCCTTATATCCACATTAAATATTTGATAGGGTTGTGGTAGGGTCCTGGAATAAAGCTTTCAGTTTACTTCCCCCAAATCTGTTCAGAGCTACATTTCACAACAGCAGCCTGTGAACACAGTCAGCATGCACAGTAAGATGCAAATACGGGATTTGCTTCAAAATTACGGGACTGCCCCAAACCAAGACACTAATGGATACATAGCCTGAGTGGCTGGGGTATGCAATTGTTTAGATTTTAATTAATATCAGAGTTACATATCTTCAAATGTTATTTGCTTTATACATTGTTTACAGTCTCAGCAGTAGACAGCTTCCAGGTCTCAATATGCTTTTTCATAATATCTGAGGCTTCTGAAGCAACAAATCCCATTCGAGGTGGAAAATCCCCAAAACAAAACCATAAACCAATCTTCTCTTGACAACT